AAGCTGTCCAAATCTTTCAAATTCTGTTCTCACAACTACTACTGCAATGGATTCCCAATCAGCTTGGGAAAGAGGGGCCGAAGAGTCTCCTGTAGTGGCCACATTTGCATTTCCCTTCTTGTTCTTTATTCAAGCAGGCATAAGATGTGGATGAAGTTTCAACACGTATCTCGGGTATGCTTAAGCTTCTTACAGTAATCACACACCAAGTCCTTATCCTCCCTCCTAGTCTCACTACTCTCCTTGTCTCCATTCGGCTTAGGTTTGGTTGTATTAACCATAGCCGACTAGTCAACCCCAGGCTGTCTCAACACGACATTCCTCCTACTTTCCTCTCTAGAAACAAAGGCATAGGCTTGAAAGAATGTCATACTCTCCCTAGAGAGGATACGTTGTCTAGCAATGTCAAATTCAAGGTTCAGCCCTGCCAAGAACTCAAAAACCTTATTTTTCTCCACCAGTTTCTGATAGGTTGCTGCATCATTGACACTTTCCCATGTTACAGTCTCCAAGTGGTCTATCTCCTGCCAAAGGGTTTTTAGCATGGAGAAATACATAGCAAGAGATTTATTTCCCTGTTTTATACTAATCACCTGATTTCTTAGCTGATAAGCTCTAACTACATTCTGTTTTTGATAATAGGTTTCAGTCACTTCATCCCAAATCTCATTAGCAGTATTAGCCCACAAAAGAAAAATTCCAATGTGAGGTAGCATAGAATTACACAGCCATGACATCACCATGTAATTCTCTTGTACCCACCAAGAGGAATCTATATCAAGTTTCCTTTCCTCCCTAGTGATGTACTTTAACTTCCCATGGGAACCAATGGCCATCTTGGCTGATTATTCCCATTCTAAATAGTTTATTCCATCCAGTTTATTGTAGTAATAATTCCATATCCAAAAATATCATTACCACCTCCAATACCCAGTCCCATGGTACTGGTGGATTTCAGTTCGGTATTCCAACTCTCCATCTTACTTTAAACAGTTTAATAGACTGAAAAAGAGAGTTGAGAGCTTCCAAGAACAATTTAAAACCACACTTACAAAAACAAACCTTTCTGGGAAAAGAAAACCCTAACTGGAGAGAAATCTCTCTCCTCCCAGCATCTCCCAATAGAGAGAAGATAGAATCGGCCACTCCAAAAGGCCCTGAAAGGTCCAAAAAACTAACCGCCCTCTACAGAAAAATAAAAGAAGCCAAACGAGACCTATGCACCCAAGATCAGACCATGATCAAAGAGTCCAGATTTTCTAGGACTCTTCTCCATACTCCAGTTCCTCCTGATTTTGATGCCAAAACATAGATCACCTTCCCGATGACTCGATCTCACCAAAAAATCTAAGAACTGAGCAATCAATAGCAGATTGATCAACCTCTTCTTACTTCATGCAATCGGCCGATCTAGGGCTGCATGAGAATGCTTCAAGAACCCTAAAACCTGCTGGAATTAAAAAATATAAAAAATATAAAAGAAAAAGGTGTTTTCTTGAAGAGGGAAGAGAGAGAGAGAGAGAGAAAGAGAAGAAGAGAAGAAGAGAAGAAGAAATCTTGAGAAGTAGGAGAGTTATCTTCTGGCCGCCCCCTTCATTTGTTATTTATAATAAAAATATAAGAATACAAAGGCTACTATGCCCTTATAGGGTGGCAAAGCATAAAACAGTATGAATAGGACTCAAAAACATAATAAAATTTGGACTCACATAACTGTTGTGGTCCCCACTACCTATCTAATTCCTAACATAACACAACTATTCTAAAAAAATCACAAAAAACCGACCAAACTTCAACAAAAACAATGAACCTGAGAAGCCTCCCTATAACAATGAAAGTTTTGATGATTGCTCCAATTATTTAGGCTTATGAACTTTGGTTCCCTTTGAGGAGATTGAACCAGGTGCGAGGAAGGTTTCAGAAAAGAGATGCTGTGTGGGAAGTTCAGAGTCCAAGGTCATGGAGTGGACTCGACAGGGAGAAGTTCTCACA